GGGAGACCCAACTGGGGTCTTGCTTTTCACTCTGCATCTGACCTAATCATTCCCTACATGGTAGCTGGTGGGATCAACTCAAATCACTTTCCTGCTCAGAACTCCTCCATAGCCTGGGTCTGCCCCTTAGCAATCTGATGGCACTTTCTGCCACGCCCCTCTTTCCCTCTAGTCCAGCCCACCTGCTTCTGCTTGCTCTTCCTCAGGCAGGTCCTCCCCACCTAAGGCTTTGCGCTGGGGGCTCCTCCTTCCTCTCCTGGGATGCTCTGCCCCCAGATCTTTCCTGCATCTCTTCCGTCGTCCTCTGATGGGGTCTTTTCTCATCACCCAGTCCCACCTTGAAGAAGCTGCCCAACCAGCCTGGTGCCCCGGGCTCGGGCAAGAACTGAGGGTGGGCAGAAGCACTTCGTGGCTTGTGGACCATATTAAGTACCACCAGAGCCGGAAAACAGCTCTTGTTGAGGTCATCCATTTCGATCATGTTTTATTATACTCTCTTTTTCTTGAAGTACGTGGTTTCGTAAACCACTTAAGGTTCCCCGCTTACGTTGGTGCTTTAAAAAATGTGAGATTCATTTTTTTTTAATCCTTTCAACGCAAACAATGACACATCTTGGCAGTTGGCAAAGGGGCTCTGCAGGTATAGGAACCAGGACAACCCTATCGCTTCAATATTTATACTATTATTTTATTTTTATTTTTTATTTTATTATTTTATTTTTTACCATTTAACTTGTTTTAATGTTTCTTCACAAATGCTGAAAAATACTAAAGTACAGACAAGGAATAATCATGATGTTGTGGCCAACGTTATAAATATGGAATTATAATTTAAAACATTTTTAAAAAATAAATTTGGTAGTTTAAAAAATAAATCTGGTAGTCAATGCAGCTCTGCGGGGTCTCTGCATCTAGGAGGGCCGATCTCTGAGTTCCTGATGGTGCTTGCCTTTGTCCATTCTTCCAGGTCCTCTGCGCCTACTTCTTCTTCCTCCCAGCTGTTACATCGAAGGTCCAGGGGGCCCACGAGGCCCGCCCTGTCTTCCTCCACCAGAGCCACCTTGGTCCATGCCCTGGCCACCACAGAAGCCTCCCGTCTCCACCACGGCCCCCTCTGAACATCCCACCGGGAACACTGCGGCCCGTGAGGCCGCCTCTGCCATGGTCACCACCCGGGGGTGGAAAGGGTGGTGGAAGGAAGCCTTCAGGCTTTGGGGCCTTACACTGGTTGCATCCTGTTCTCTAGGCGAAGTTCTGGTTTCCACACCCCAGACTGGGGCACTGCCTGTCTCCAGTTTGGTGCTGGACGTTTCCTCCTCCGGGGCTCTCTTGGGGGAAGCCACCTCTGTCTCCTCCACGGCCTCCCATGCGACCCATGGGGCCCCCAGGACCTCCTGGGCCCCCGGGACCTACACAAAGTGGTGGCGGCATCCCTCTGCCCTCACGGGGAGGCATACCACCCCGCATGCTGTTCATTGGAGGCTTCTTCCAAGCAAGAGAAACCTTAAGTTTGCTCCCTTGAAAATCTTTCCCATCAAACCACTCCACGCCAGACTTGGCTGTTGGTGGGTCTTCAGAGGAAACTGGAGCATCACTTTTGGGCTTTCCTGTTTCCTTGTCCAAGTAGATATGGATCATGGGTTGTCTGGTTTTCTTGTTCAACTTAACAACTCCACACTGCTTAAAGAAGTCTGCCAGATCATCTAGAGTCACATTGTCATTTAAGCCTTGCACATAAATTACACTGTTGTCAGAGCCTTCATCTGGATCTACAGGTGGGCCCAGACCAAGATCTGGTCCTTCGTCCATGGGTCCACCAGGCTTATTGAAGCCACCTCGCTCTCCAGCACCCATTCCACTGCATCCTCCTCCCCGCCCACCTCTGCTCATGCCTCCACGATCAAATCCCCCTCTTCCCCTGCCCCGGTTATCAGGGCCACTCACGCTCCAGTTCTCTCCTGGCCCAGAAAATCCTCCAGGCTCCAGCCCAGAGACACCCATGCTGCTGGGGTGGTCCTACTGGAATGAACTCCACTGCCCGTAGCTGCTGCTCTGTTGGAGGATCCTGGCTGTAGGATCCAGTTTGGGGCGGATAACTAGTGGGCGGCTGCTGCCCATAGCTGCTTTGTCGACCATAGCTACTCTGCTGTCCATAGCTGCTCGGCTGCCCACAGGTGTTCTGCTGCGAGTAACTGCTCTGATCCTAACTAGTCGGCTGTGTAGAGGAGTAGCTGGTAGGAGGATAAGTTGGTGGTGCTGGGACTGGCTGCACGGGGTAGCTCCCAGGTGCCTGGGGATAACTGTAGTTACTCTGTCCATATCCTAGGCTGGGCTGGTTGTAACCCCCTGTGCTAGGTTGAGGTTGACTAGTCTCAGCGGGTTTGTTGCCACCCTGCGGTCTTGCAGGTGTGGCGGCTGCCCATAGGCTGGGCAAGCAGGCTGAGCTGCATAGGAGGCCTGGGTGGTAGTGACCGTAGCAGTGGTGGTATCGTAAGCACCAGTGCCGTCCCCCTGGACAGGCTGACTGTACACCTGGGGGGCAGCTGGAGTAGTATAACCAGTGGGAGGCTGTCCATAAGAAGTGGCATAGGCGGTCTGCCCATAGGTCGCAGTGGTCTGAGCCTGGGTATAGCTGACATCAGTGGGCTGTCCATAGGTGCCATAACTTCGCTGCCCATATGCCTGGGTGGTCTGTGCATATCCTTGAGTGGGTTGGGCGGTGTATGCACAGTAGCCCTGCTGGGCTGCAGCTTGGCTGTAGGTACTGTAATCTGTGGACACCATTTTCTCTCCTTCTCGTTCCTTACGCCATTGTTTTAATGTGTACTTACGAAAAAGTCAACTGAAATGTAACTGATACATCACATGTGTGGTTTTATGGCTCTCACAGCTTAAAATGATGCCGGGCTAAAACAAGTAGATTAAAGTAATTTAAAGAGAAGTCTTATGTAAATAGTGGTAAAGGTGGTAAGCAGATAAGGCAAAAAGTGATGTGCCAGGGACTACAGTTAGGGGAAGTCTGTTCCGCTGTAATCATGATGATATGGAATATTTGGCATGGGGTCTACTTTCCACCTGTGTAAACAGAAAAGATAAAACTGAGTTCCAGATGGAGCAATATTATTCTAAGTCTAGGAAAAACCAGTAGGTACCCATGGTCATACAAAATAAACAGGTGAGCAGGGAGTCTAATGCTGCATTCCAAGGTGATGAATTAGCCAGCTGTCCGAAAGAAGAGAGCTAATTAAACAGGCTCACTCTCATCTCCTAGGAGATGGAACCTCTAAATGGCCCAGCTAATTAGAATAAAATAATAATAGGGGATACGTAAGTTTTTAATAATGGTAACAGACAAGCTCAATAAATCAAAATGGCAGAACAATGGGTCAGCAAATGGCAGATACACACAGCTCAAAATTTATCATTTCTGTGAAAGATATCAAGTTTCAGAAATAAAAACCTAAAGAGAGGGACTTAAAAGATCCTCTGACATAATAAAAGGAACTCAGTTAGGGGAATGAACTGAGTCAGAGGACAAGCTCAGAATCACTGTGGGCTGATCAACCTAATCCTGCATCCCAACTAAGAACCAACCAGAGGTGGTGGCCTCTGCTTTTCTGTCATAGTTTCTCACAAAATTTACTAAAACCTTAGGAAGGTAACTCTTGGATGATATAACCATGTGTAAGCACACACACACAAGTCACACAAAAACCCAGAAACCTTAAATCCATGGTATTCACTCATTTATAACTGTCTTTTTTTTTTTTTGCAAACACACTGGCCTTCACCATGTATTTTGTTTATTATTTATTTATTTTTGCAGGGTTTTAAGCATTTAAGATCTGACTTTTTTAGAAATCAGTTCAAATAAATGGCTAAAAGTGGCTACACTTAAAAATCTCTGTTTAAATGTTCAGAAACTTTCCTTTGTTAAATACACATTATTTTTTAAGAATCGTACAAATATTTAGAGGCGTGTTGACTGTGTAATGTTTAAAAACGTGGACTGCTAAAGAAATACGGATGAATACATTGCGTGTAAACAGAGGGTAATGCGGTTTCTGTCTTTAAATACAAAAGCCTGTTGGATGTTAAGACTCCATCATCCTAAATCGCTGCTAATGAGTGAAGGCTGATTTGCTACGGTGTGTGGTACATTGTGACGGCGTAATGTTCCTGTGGTAAGGGACTGGCTGACTGTCTCACTCCACACTGTAGAGAGACAGGTATGGGTCACATCAGGCGACCACAGTGCCTCCTGGTAACGAGTGAATGTCAAACCCCCAGCTGTTTATGTTTTGGCAGATAAAGACACTGTGGCTCGATCATTGTGGTCTTTTGGAATTAAGATATCTGAACTCCGGAAACACTGCCAACAATCAATAGGCAGTTTGGGGGCATTCCAGGAAAACGATCGTCTGCCATACTTTCATTGTAGGCTTCATTTCCTTTGTTAGGGTGCAGACCATTCAGACGGGGGCCTTA